ACAACCTGTAGAGATTTCTACAACTTATTCTACATATCCAAGGATTGCATTAGCATTTTTTGTCTTCTCACACACACACACGGATCCTGCTCAAAACAACAGACACACACACACACACACACACACAGATGGATGCTGCTCAAAACAGCAGTGTGTTGTTCGTTGTTTTTAATGGGAAGAGTTTCAGGACCTTTGTGGATTCATTTCAGACAACAGAAGAGAATTACAAAAAGCACAAACCAAAATCTTCTATGCATGGATGATGTTGGTATTTTTTTTTTTAACTTGGCAGCTTTCCAATAATAGTTATTTTTCATTAAGGAAATTTATTCAGAGAGTTTCATGAAAATCAGAAGTTTTGTAGAAAAATAAATATCAAATATGGCCAAGGCCCTGGGCATAACTATTTAAATATTAATCAGTTATATTGATCAAGACTGTTTTCTTCTGACACCTGAAGAGTACCCTGCTCTTGGCTGTAATGTTCTAGCTGTGAAACTTTGAAATAGTGAGATTTTAACTAGCTGGCAAGCAGCTGGATCTCTGAAGTATCAACTAATGCTTTGAACTTCTATAGCACTTTTCATATAAGAATCAGAAAGCCCTCAACAACCACTGTGCCCCAATGAGCAATATTATTTATTCTTATTTTGCATCTGGGAGACCTGAGACACAGAGACATTAGGGAGTTAGCTTTCAAAACAGAGAAGGCAAACTTTGCCTGGCTTTCTTGGGAGCTCGACGGGTGAGCTATGCCTTTGGAAATCAAGCCAGGGCAGCACATTTGCTGTCCTCCCCACCCCCCCTGCAAGTCTGTCTGTTGTATCCACCTGTTGTCTTTCATCCAATATATGGACTGAAATCTGTTTGGCATTGGGACCATGATATTGTTAGGTACAGCACCCAGCACAACACAGCTGGACCTCTGAGGTGCCCTTGCAATGCAAATAATTAATGAATGCTATGCTTAGACTCCTAAAATATTTGCATATCTAAATATGATTGTAGATGTCTAACTTCATACACTAAGTATGAAACTTTTGCACAGGAAGCCAGTAGAAAAGCCAGGCATAAACACCAGGAACCTTGATTTACAAATCCCATAAACTAGCTAGCATACCACACTGTATGATACTTGACCCTTTCACAGTAACATGTCTGAGCCTTAGTTCAGCAACTCTACTATTATTCAATGGTATTTATAATGGAGCAGTGGCTGGAGACTCTAATCAAGACCAGAGCTCCCCTCCGCTGGAGATACTGGAACACACCACACTGATGCTGAAAAGCTCACAGTCCAAACAGTCAAAGACTCTGAAGGAGAGTGGTATCATGACCATGTTCTAGATGGGAATTGAGGCCCAAAAATAAATTTAGGGAGTCTCCAGAAAACGATGTTCAGTTTTCACAAGTTGGGTGCTGAACTTTTTAAATGTCTGGCCCAAAGAATTGTTGAATGCTGGGCACTTTGGGAAGTCTGAACCCAATTATGCATTTGACTATCTGTCCTGAAGCAATTTGAAGGTCTGCTTTTATGTTACTTACACAGGATAACGTGAAGCCTGGGGCACAGCAGGGAATTAAATCCTTAGCTACTAAGATCCTATCCAGTCTCGTAACCATAAGAGCATTCTTTCAAAGCCTGATATTTGTTGGCCCCCTGGGGGAATGCTTGAACTGGAGTTATGGTATCTACTTGTGAAATCATCATTCACCATACGGAATAGAACTGAGAGCAGATAGAAGCATCCTGCCCTGAAGAAAACAGCGTAGCCTTCTCAAGCGATATCCATTGCCCATTAAAGTAAATGAAGTCAGCAGTCATCGGAGCAAGCCCCCATTAAACAGATACAGAATCTTTCCCTTTACACGGTGCAACAAGCTACTTGGAAGCCTCCTTAGCTTCAGTTTCTTTCACATCTTAGGATCTTGTGTCTCTGTCATTGCTAACATCAGCTCAAGGAGTGTGTGAATGCAGAACATTATCCTAATATTTAGCAAAAAGAATGAAAGGACATTTTCCCCCATCCACCAAGTATTTCTAAATTTATGGCCTGCAGTGCACACAAATCAGGGAGGTAAATATATGTATTTATATGAAAACACACACACAGAGCCTGGTATTTAGAAAAGCTTCAGCCTGCTGGCACACACAAATCAGTTACTGGAAAACAGCAAAGCAAGGAGGGAGGCATAAAGAATCAATAAGCAGAGGATCCAATGTGAAAACAATGCTTACTGCATGAAGCCCTGCATAGAAAACAACACCACCTATTAAATCCTGGCTTGGCAGAGGTGGAAGAAAATATTGCAGGATTAGAGGGTGCATTTTTACAGATGCTTCTGTGATTGTTTCTCTCCCCTTTTTTGCCACGGAGATGAGATAATCGGTGCAGAGATGATGCTATGTATTATAAACGGTAATAGTAAGGAGAGAGGCCAAAAACAGAAGGTTGTATTCTTGATGTGCCTGCTATTACTTTTCCCCATCTGTCTTTCTCTTGTCCCCAGCATCCCATCAGTGGCGCTGGGCTCATCAGCATGTCTGGCTGGACTAAGAAAAGCAGCAATTTTCTCTAGTCAGGGGAAGAGGCACCAGGGTGACAAGGGGGCCTGGAGCAACATGGAGACATTGATCACAAAATAATCTTAGGAAAATACTGTAAGTTTGCTTCCTTCTCCTACCTCTAATCTCTCAGGCTTTTGGTATTCATGTGGGTAGGGCAGGGAACAGAACACCCAGTCCTGGGACAGCAGACACCGGGAATAAATAGGTTGGCTTTCTGTAGACTAACCATCCAAATCAAAATGTGACTTGCTTTACAGCTGAAGGCAACCATACCTAGCACCTGTTTTCTGCTTCTCTTAGGAAAAAGCAGCTCTGTGCTATGGCTGATACCAACAGGATAACACTCCCTCTCTTAATATTCCAGCACCCCACTGCTATGACTTTGTGTAAAAGTCTGCTGGGGACATCTTTAATTCAGGTGTTGTTTGTTTTAAAAAGATCGGGCACATGGGGAATGTAGTTTCAAGGTGAGAAGCCCAAAATCCCAGAGGCCAAGAATAAGAAGCTGAGCAGAATGAAAAGAGTTTAGCTCTGGGACTAAGGATTTACAGGACTGGCTGCGAGTAGAAAAGCTGGGGGAAGATTAGCTCTCCTTCTCTCTGGAGTACTAATACAGCCCATATTAGCATAATACCCAAGTGTATCACCATCTCGCATGCATTTATCCCCGTAAAACCCTGGTGAGGTGTGGATCTGAAGCAAAATGTCTTGTTCTAGTGCCCTAACTGTTGGTCCATCCTTTCTCTACAGCACGGTGGTTTCAGAGGGCCAAGGGAGTGCGGTTGTGGTATTAGCCTTTGGCCTCAGAGCACAGCTGTGGGAGTAGTGCATCAGCCCATCCCAGGGGCAGTAGGATCAGGCTGTACTGTCCTTTGAGGCCCAGTAGTCCAGTACTGTGTCTGGCTGGAGGGAACAACATCAGCTCCTTGGCATTCAGTCTTCCATCATCCATCAGCCCTATGCTTTAACCACAGGTTGAGAGAGTTAACTCCCAAGAAAAACTGACTCCCTGTTCAGCAAAAACACTGAAATAACAGCAAAGAGCTCAGAGGTGTGATTCTGGGGAGAGGAGCTGTTTAGAGAAAGGCCAATGCACCTTGGTTATTTTGAACAACAGAGTAAAAAATTACACTGTGTAAAACCTGCCTCTTAAACATGTTCCCAGCCACACACAGAGGAGGCATGCCCCAGGGTCCAATGTTTCCCTTTACAACTCCTTTGCAATTGCACTGTCTGAGACTGAGACAGGTTTTTATCACATCTGCCCCAAGTGCCTGTCTTCCAGGTGCAGCAAAGCTCCTGCAGCTTCCCTACCAAGGACAGAGCACCAGACGGGAGGGGCTGTTAGATGGAAGAAGGAAGGGTTGCCTGATACTCTCTCAACAGCAGCCATGCACCCAACTCTGGGCAGCAGGGTGACCCAGCTAGGCAGGAAACAACCCTGGAGGAAGATCTGCTATCGCACCAAACATGAGACTTTACAGCTGAAGCAGAAGTTGATCCTCAGGGTAAGAGAACCTGCCTGATAGGAGGAGACAGGGAAGGGCCCAGGAGTAGCTCTAAGTCGCATCAAGTTAGGGAAGGGCACAGGAGTAGCTGTAAGTCCCATCAAGTTAGGCTGCCTGGAGAAACAATCTGTCTGCCTTGAATTTAACCCCTGGGGTTCCAATCACTGCTGGAGCTGACTTGCTAACGTCATTGCAGCCGAGGGAAACTAATGCAGATGGAGTGGTGGGCCTGCTGTCACTGGCGCCTCCCGGCACGGCTGTGGCTAATGCAGACTCCCTGAGCAAGCGCTTTGAGTAAGTAGCTCAAAGCTCCAGCTCCAAATGACTGGTGAGAACTGGTTTCTCATCAGTTATAACATGAAAGACACATGTGGGGGGGCATCAGCTCAGTTGCTTTAATGGAAAACTCGCTGTGCTGATAGCACAGGAGGTGGGAGACTGGTTAAACACTTACTTTTCCCTCTGGACACCTGTCTTTGATTGCAGCCTCTGATGTCTAGGCTGAAAGCAACTCCAGCCTCTTTCCTGGCAGAGAGACTTCCATCACCACTGAAAACAAGGTTACGCTGATGACAAGCTGCCATGTGCAGGGCACTGCTGCCCATGGACAGACCCAGACTGCTCTGGAGGGGGTGAGCACACTTCAGTGCGCACTGCACTCCTTCCCCATGTGGCAGCACCGTCAAAGTGTTTTAAGGACCCACCCATGAGAATCAGCCTCTACGTGCAATGCATTTCCTTCACTAAGAGTATGGCATAGCCCAAGGGCCATTTCTGCAGCTAAGTGACCAGAGACCCCGTGCACCAGCCTTGTGACTGTGGCAGCCACATGACTTAGGAATGGGATCTCACACTGCAGGTCAATGCACGACCAAATCCTACGGGGTCACTAGTATCATCTGTATTCCCAGCATCATTCTTACCTTCAAGCCGGTGCTTTCTGCTTCGGAGCCTTTATCCACGCCAGTGATGTAAATGCCCAGAGAATATTCTGCTCCTCCTCGGATCATGAGACCCAGGGATTTCCCTTCGTTCAGCACCAGGTTCACCTGCAGGGAGGGAGAGCTGCCGTTTAGATGGACATATACAGTGCTTACAGGTGTGAGACGGGTGCTGTCCCTGTTCCAAATCTCCGACGCCAGCGATGGCCAACCTGTGGCCATGAGGATACTAAAATGTGGCTCTTGCAGAACAGCTACAAGACAGCCTGTATTTGTCTGTGAACAGACAATGCGATCCTTGTGATTTTTAAAGCTGAAGTGGCCTCATTGCTGTAGGCAAGAGACATGTGGAGCCACTGCTCAGTTACCTCCAGCTCTAGTGTGAACCAGGGGTGCTGCTCGCCTTCCCCTGGGGCAGCTGCTGTGCACCTCCCTGGCTGGTTGTCTGGTGCAAGGCAAAGGAGGGAAGAGGAGTCCTAGATGCTCCTATTGCTAGCTTTCCAGGCAGCCCCATACGATGTGCAGGATGGAGGAGTGGATCCAATTCCTTTACCCTAGCAAAACGGAGCATTAGTTGTGGCTCTCTCCCACTTTTGGAATAAGTGGCCTTCAGGTACAGCATCATTACCTTATGATCTACACCAGGTAAGGACACAATACAAGTGCCCACACATTACAGTGAGTGTGGGGCCGGACTGGAAAAGGGGCAGAGTTAAGGGGATGATGTAACCAAGGAACACATCTTCCTGCAAAGAGCAGAGGGTACATTTGTCCAATTGATACAATGTTTTAAATATATACAAGGAGTCTCTGGCAGAGCCCATCATCTTGTGTTAAGGAAGAACACTTTTCTAAGGGTAGACCACAGGGGTGTGGGCACACAACACAGGAGTAATCCAGCTTTCCACTTGTGCAACTATTGAGTAAACACAGGATGTATGGCTCTATGCTAGTGCAAGTCTGGGGGTAAAGTTACCCCTTGGAAAGTAGGAGTACCTACACTGGTTTAAATTACATTTGTGTTTTGGTGGTGCTGGTTGTAGCTGTGTTGGTATAAGGACGTAGGCAGACAAGGTTCTTGGGGTAAATGTGAAATCTTTTAACAGACCAACTAAATAGTTGGGAAAATTGTTCCTTGCAAGCTTTTGGGCAAAGGGAGAGAAAAATTGTTTTTTGCAATGCTTTTGGGTAAAAGGAAGGGTGTTTGTGCTCAAAAGCTTGCAAAGAACAATTTTTTTCCAACTGTTTACTTGATCTAATAAAAGATATCACATTTATCCAAAGAATCTTGTCTACTTGTGTACTGGTGATGTCTCTGCAGCTCCAACGTCATGCCAGGGTAACACTTTGTTCAGTGCAGCAAGCTATGGCCAGCTCCCTACACCTAATGGCCATGTCCTGTAATGGTGCCAACTGCAGACAGCCATCTTGGTCATCTGTGTGCTTCAGACAGACACCAGCATGACTTACATGGATTTGGAAACAGAAGTAAGTCACACTAATGATAAAGGGTCATGTGTCTGCACCCTGAATAAGGAGGATGAAGTGCAACGGTGCAGGAACATACAGGGTCTGGGTGACTGACTCGGGAGTTAGAGAAAGCCTGGGAGAAGGCTAAGCAGATAGGAGCCCAACAGGGGGTTCAGGGGAGACATTGGGAGACAGACTTGCATGGAGCAGATGATTCATCACCAAAGGAAATAGGAGATGTATGGTGCAAATTAAAGGAGCCGTTACTGAGTCAGGAGCTGAGACAAACTGAAGTGGCCTATGGTTGTATGTCAGATGAGATACATGGCTGGGAGAGAAAAATCTAGACCCCCCCGCCACAGTGCACTCTTTGCTCTTCCTCTTCCCTTAATAATTCAACCATATGTCCTGTAGTACCAAGGCACCTAAAGAAAACTGCCAGCATCAGCAGCTAAAAATAAAGTGTGGGGAGGCACAGGTTGAACTGCAGTGAAAAGCAAAGCAGAGTCCTTCAATGCCCAGAGAGAGCAGCTGTTCAGCTTTTCTAAACTTCCCCTGGAGGGACCAGCTGCTAAGACAGCTGTCCATCCCTGTGACAGCTCATGCCCAGGCCCTGTTGGACATACGCAGCTATGCATATACCCAGGGTCCTGTGGAAGTGCCCAGAGGGGACTTTCCATCCTAATACCACCCACAGAAGCAGAGGAGGACAATGTCCAGATGGAGTGAGGGAAGCAGATGGAAAATTACCTGGAACATGAATACCTCTCAGCTCCCCACTGCTCTCAAGAAGGCATCTTACCTGACATACTGATGCTGTACCACAGGCAGGATAGCATTTGCCATGAAGATGATATGGGATAGATCAGAATTCAGAGGCCCTGAACCTGCAACAAGCCCTGTGCAGTTTAAAGGCTCTGAGGAAAAGCTGGGAGAGCTGCAAGAAGAGCTGTGAGGTGACCTAACAGAGCTTTGTCAAGTGAGGGAAAGGAGGAATTACAAGATGCAAGGATACCTGATCTCAATCCCCAAACACAGAGGTTAAGATGTCAACATTTCGGGGCTGGGTACAGATAAAGCTGACTACAGTGGGTAATAAACCCATACAATTAGATCCTGAGACAAATGACTGAAGTAAAAAGCAGAGAGATAAGTGGGTGGCTATGCCTCAGGGGTAGGCAACCCCTGGTATGTGTAGGCCTTTTACTTGGCATTCGCACCTCGGGGAAGGGGCAGGGGCTGAGCTGCCACTACAAGGATTGGGCATCTCGTGGCTGCCCTGCTATCAGCCCTTGGCATGCCAACATCTTACAAGTCAAGGTTGCGGGTGGTTTTGGCACTCTGTCCAAAAACGTTAACGACCCCTGCTATACCTGGATTTGGAGGACTAGAAGAAGGGGAGGAAGAGAAAGATGGTGGCTTTGTGGTGAAGGGACTCTCCTGAAAATCTGGGGTTAAGTCCCACCTCTGCCACAGCCTCCTTGGGAACATCACTTCACCTCTCAGTGCTTCAACCCCCCATTTGTGAACCTGGGCAAAGAATGAACAATTCTTTGTTACTCAGTTTCTGAGCTCTTTGGAGCAGGTATTGCCTCTTACACAGTGTACAGCACCTAGCACAGCAGGGACTTAATCTCAGGTGGTGCTTCTGAGTGGTATTACCATACTAATCATCCAGCCAGATATTGGCAAGCAAGGTCAAATAAATAGCCTCTTTTGACTTCCCAGTTACAAATACTACTACTAAGCGATGCTGTTAAGACTTTGAACATTCATGCCAGGGTAACCTCTTAGCACTGAAGATCTCACAGCTCTTAAACCATAACTAAGCCCCATAGTCCCACATGAGGCAAGTATTCTTGTTGTTATTCCTGCTTTATAGAGGGAGAGGTTAAAACCCCACGCCACAAATTGGCTTGTCCGTGTCCAAGAGTAAGTGGCAGAGCTTGGAAGAGATCCCTAAAATCCTGGGTCCCAAATAGTTTTCCTGTTGGCCAGATCCTTAGCAGGTGTAAATCCCTGTAGTTCCATAAGCTTGATGGGGCCATGCTATTTTGAACCAGCTGGGGCCCTGTCCCACAACCCCCTGTTCTTTTGTGAGCATTACAGACTACTTTAACTGATTACAGACTAATTAAAAGTTTTCATATGGGCTATGCAATAGAGCTTTCATTTTCTCTTCCCATTATGTTAACATGTAGCCACGGAGCCAGACAGTAGCCCTGAAGGACAGAGGTTCTCCAAGTGATCTCTCCTTCCAGAAGATTCAATAAAAGAAAAGGATCAACGCAATGAAAGGACAGGATGGCAGGATAGTGATGTTCTGAAACAACGTAAATCTTGACCTTTGGATCAGTGCTCCTTGCAACATCTCAAGCCAGCTCTAGTAAAATAGTTACTGATGTGTAAAGGCTGCAGCTTCAAACCAGACAGCATGAGATGAATTATGCAGTGAGCAATCTCCTTCTTCCTTCCTTCCTTCCATACAAATGTCTGTCCTACCCGGTAGTAAGGAGAACTAGAGAATATACTCATAAATCCAGGGTGAATGGCCATTCCTAACAGCAGCAGCAGATACCTGGTGCTGCTACTCCATCATGGAGTTCACTGTAACTATTTTACAAAGAAAAACAATATGGAGTAGGAAGAGAGGAGAATCAGGCCTTTTCTTTGAGAACCATCCTGCAGGCTCCATTTAAGCAAAGCACTCATTGATATCAAAGGGCCCAGGCAATGACACATTCCCAGAGCCAATAAAAATTTAGGTCACATTCCCATAGCCAATAAAAATTTGTCAGAAGTGCTCAGCACCAAATTTGCACCCAGCATGCTAAACCCTGTTAGCCCCTAATGTGTGCGTTGTGCTACCTCCTGGCCTTCTGCCCCTAAGCTGCACACCTGCTGGCAGTCAGGTCCCCAGAGAGTTTTAGGTATCTAAAGTGGAATTTGGGCATCTCAGTCCAAAACTGTACTCCTGAAGATTGTGTCTAGAGATGCCTCAGTTATTGATATTAAAGTTTTACAGGTGCCTACATTTCTGCTTCTGTGTGCGCCCAGAAACTGGCTTAACAGGTCGTTCACCTAAACCATATCAGGGTCCATAAACTAGTCACTCTTTTGCCTCAGCTGTTTTCAGAGCTCATCCACCTGACTGGGCTCCACACAAAAAGTGGCAGCAGCCCTTCAGACCCTAGCCAGAGGAAAGGGAAGTGGTGGCAGTGATGGTAACACAACTTTCCTTTCTGAAACAGCTCTGTGGTTACTGCACTCCTTTCCTTTGCCTGAAGGGATTTTTATATTTTTCCTTCTTTCTTCCCTTTATCCTTGCTGCTGCTGAGTGTAATCAAATGATTTTTAAAGTTGCCTCCATTGAACAGTTTCCCAGCTCCTATTTCCACTCAAGTCATCCAAACTTCTCCATCCAACTCTGGAAAAAATACAAACTAGAAAAAAAGTGTAGATCTGGGCCTTAATTTTCTTGCTTGTTCAAAAACAAGGAAGGACTCCAGGATCCCACTGCTGCTAGGCATGCGTTATTGCCAGTAATTAATAATAATACCCCAGACTGTCCATCTTACTCAGAAATAGCTCATGCCCAACCTACAGACAAATTTCAGTACTTTGCACCCGACAGTTAA